CAAGAGGTGAGATGCGCCCCGCAGGCAGAGAAGCTGAGAACTGGAGGGTGATGTTTAGGAGGTGGAATAGACAGGACCAGACCGGCACCTGATTGGATGTGAAGGGTAAGCAGGCCCGCAGGCATTTTCAGGTTCCCTATTCAGCTCCGGGACTGGCCCGGGACAGCCCCTGGGTCTGGACACGGTGAAAGACAGTGCGGGATCTGAGGACTTGGCCCCCAGCCTCCCAAGAGGACCCCTGCACTCTGTCCTAACCCCTCAGAACCATTTATCTTCCCTTTTGTCACCCATTCCTGTCTCTTCCACTCCCTCCTCTTCTCCCCTAGAAGGAACTCCCCCAAAGAAAGTTATATTTGGAGCCTGCCTGGTTCCCCTTCCCTACCCTTCCTTTTTCTACTGCCTGAGTTAATGAGAGTCCCTGGGACTCTACCACCATTACCCGCCCGCCTCCCCCAGGTCGACCGCCCCTCTGGATCTCAAACACCTCTTGACTTGGAGATTTGAGATGGGACACACCGTTAAAGCAAAGGCAAGATCGGACCTCTCGGCCCCGACCCCGACGACAGCCTCTGAGGAGATAGGTGCCCTCAGACGGGTGGGTCATGAGGCCCCTAAGCCGGGCTCAGGGCCACTAGGGACCCCACCTTCCTCGAGTGCCTCACTGTGCTGGAGCCCGAAGGCCGAGGGGCGGGCGGGCCGGCCGGGGCGGGGCGCGGGCGGGGCCGGCCGGGCCAGGCGCCTGGGCAGGAGGCAGCTGCATTTCTGCGGTCCCAACCACAATTGCTGGGAGTCGCGTCCCGGAGACTGGCGGCGCTGACTCTGCCCGCTGCGGCCGCCGCGCCGATTAGAGCCCAAGAGGGAGCGCCAGGCTGGGTGGGGGTGGGGGCGGCAGCGGGGGAGCTCTGTGCCCCTTTCCCTTCGCCCGGGCCAGTGCCCCCAGCTGCCCAGCCTGGGAGTCCCCAGCGGCCTAAGCCTGACCGAGTCCTGATTCCCCAGCCCCGGGTTGCCGGTGTCTGTTCTGCTCAGGCTTTCGCCTTTGGACCTTGCAGAGCCCGAGGTCCCGAGGGTGCTGACATCCTGTTGACCCCGGGCTGCCAGCCGCTCCTCCTCAGTCTCTTCCTCAGCACCTCACACAAAGAGGAGTCTGGATCTCAGGCTCCCCATCTCCTATGCCCACGTCTTTCAGGATCGCTCTCTAGGGCAAAAGCAGCTCCAAACGAAGAAGGGGTCAAAGACGCGAAAGGACCTGCATTCCAGGCCCAGAGCACCCCCTGCTGGCTGGCCCCGAGCCCCTGCCCCTCCCCCTCCAGCTGTGACCTCCAGCTGTGGCGGTTGGGTAGAGCTGGCGCTTTGATCTAGGAACGTGGCCACCCCCTCCAGGCGCCCCATTAACCTCCATTATACCAATTAGGCAGCCCTCCCGGTCCTGGATCCAAGCTTCAAAGCTTCCTCAGTGGGGAGAAGAGGGGGCTGACTCCTATGCCCCCCCAGAACATACCACTTTCAGACAAGGCCCAGGTGTCCTGGTCCCTAGCGGATGTACAAGATAGTAAGTCCAGAAAAGGGATCCTCAAGGGCCACCCACATCCTGATAATTAAACTTCAATAACAAGAGAGCCAGATAAGGAAGGGGACCCTCTTTCTCTGGCTCTTAGTTCTCCCACATTGAATTTAGGTAGCAGCATCCAGGTTCCTGGCTGACCTGGGCTTCCCATTAATTTATCCAGCTTTATCCCATGGAAAGGGTAGCCAAGAACCACCCTTCCTCCTCCCTTAATCCTATCTCAACACTCCCTTTCCCCCTCCCTCCTGGAACAATTTCCGCTGGGGGAGCCTGAGCAGGGCTCAGCACAGTGGCCGCTTCCTGGAACATTTTCCTGTATCCGAAACCGCGACTCCCTCCCTAGGGACCGGCTGATCAAGGCCAGATGGGAGCAGGGATGGGGAGGAAGAGAAGGAGCCAGACTTTCACCATCACCCCCTCCCAATACATGTGCACACCAGGCTGACACAAGCACACCCCACATGCCACCATCACACAGACCCATGGGCCTTCCTGGCGACACGGGGGCCAGATCCTAGAGATGTACAAAGTCACTGAGGCCATAGATATGATCATACTCTCTCCACTCAATCTCTCACCCCTCTAAAGTCTCCCCAGGCCCTGGGGCTTCATTGCCAAATAAGGAGACCTTAGGAATCTAAGAATCCCTGTACTACAGTAGAACAGCAAAGAGGCCTTCCTTAGTTAACAGGTCTGGGACATCTAATGTGCCCTACCACACCCTTCTTCTTCTGGATCAGGCCTGACTCCTCTCTTCAAGATCTGGGAAGCAGGGTAAGAAAGTCTAGGCTATTTGTCCTGGGTGCTAATCTCAGAGCACTTTCTGGTTGCTTCCAGATTCTTGGAAAAGTGTATGGTATTCACTAGGTTCCCTCATGACAGCCAAGGGACATAGAGGATAAGAATGTGCAGCTACAGGGAATTCTGGGAGTCTGGAAGATGCAGATGAACATGAGGCTAACTGCTGGGGATAGGCAGGGAGCCAGAGACCTAGGGACTTGTGGACTTACTGGCACAACTGATAGTCCACTCCTCCCTGCTGCTTCCCCTCACCTCTTCTGTGGAAGCCCTGGTGATGGATAAGAGGCTGAGGGTGGTGTCCCCAGTTCAGCCCATTTTTCACTCCATCCTCTTCTGCTCACCACCTTTCCAGGAAAGGTGACTCATTTTTGCATCTCACATGTTTATCTTTCCTGGGAGGATTTGTGCCTGGGTATGGCATGGGACAGAACTATGGTAAAGCCAAGGATGGAGGAACACAGACTTCTCTTTTCTGGAACATCTCACTGGTTTAAAGGAAACATTTGAATTTGGACAGTTCCAAAGTTCCAAAACTCTGGGCTACAAGGTCACTAAGAGAGATGGGGAAATACATAATCATAAGAATCAAAACTTATCAATCTGCTTAAAGTCACTGTATTCTCTCCTCAGTCTTGTGGCTCTTCTCAAGCTCACCTGAGGTGATACCTGATGATGTCCCTACTCACTTGTTTAATGGTTGACCTCTTCAACTATCCAGAAGTTCTTTGGCTGGTATAACTCTCTTCTTCCATCTTCCCTATAGGCCAGGTGTGGTGGGGCACACCTTTAGTCCCAGCATTTGGGAGGCTGAGGCAGGAGGATCGCCTTGAGTTCCCAACTATCCTGAACTGCATAGGGAGACCTTGTCCTAAGTTTAACAATTTTCAGGTTGGGGATTTAGCTCAGTGGTTCCACCACCTGCCTCCCAAGTGCAAGGTCCCTTGATCCCTGGTACCAAAAAGAAAAAAAGAATAAAGGCTACCTTATTGTATGTTTAAAGTGTATTATGACATTGTGTGGTAGTTAATAAAACACTATTTTTTTCCTCTTGAAAAAAAAAGTCAATCTTCCTTTTAGCCAGTAACTTGCTTTAGCTCCAGTAGAAAAGCTTATTACTCAATTATGTAGTTGATAGGATTTATTGAGTAGCTCCATGGGTGAAATCCTACAGAGCAAATGACACATGCAAACTCCAGTCCTTGCTCTTTAGTCTGGATTGGGAAGAGAGACACATGAAAATACCAGAGACCATATTTTTTTTCCCCCAGTACCAGGGAATCAAACTCATGACATTTTGCTTGCCAGGCAGCTGCAGCAGTGCCACTGAGCTACATCCCAAGCCCACCACAGACCATATCTAAAAGCATTGGTGACCCTTCATTTCTCTATGCCTCCATTTTTATCCCATTTCTTTTGGTTTTGTTTTGTTTTTGTTCTTTGTGAGACAGGGTCTCCTTATGTAGTTCATGCTTGCCTTGAACTTACTGTATAGCCCAGGCTGGCCTCAAACTTGTGGCAATCCTCTTGCCTCAGCCTCCCCAATACTGGGATTACCGGTATGTGCCACCATGCCCAGCCTCCATGCCTCCACTTCTTTATCTGAAAATGAAAGAATTTGGTGATACTTGAGAACTGCTGCCCTCTGTGATCTCTAAGATACTTTTTCTGATTTACCTCAAGAATGCTAAAACAGATATTTATGTCTTTATTGGTACTGGGGATTAAACCCAGGGTCTTCGCACTGAGCTATATTCTCAGCCTTTTAAAATTTTTTAAATTTTGAAATAAGTTCTTTTGTTTTGTTTTGTTCTTTGTTTGTTTGGTGTTTTGAGAGAGGGTCTCTCTCTGTGTAGTTCAGGCTGGCCTTGAACTAACTATGTAGCCCAGGCTGGCCTCAAATTCACAGTGATCCTTCTGCTTCAGCCTCCCGAGTGCTGGGATTATAGGTGTGTGCCACCAAGCCTGGGCTTTTGAGACAAATTCTTGTTAAGTCACTAAATTGTCCAGGGTTGAGCTCAAACATCAATCTTCCTATCTCAGCCTCCCACGGTGCTGGGATCGTAGGTGTGTGTCACTACAGAATGATGTCTATGCTTAGTAAACTCAGTTGAAAAAACAATATTCAACAAATGGTGGGGAGAATCATGTTGGGACTCTTCCTTGGAGGTGAAATAAGTGGGGGAGGGGGGAGTGTTTTGATTTGCAAAGGAAAAAACCTAAAGGTACGGAGAGGTAGGCAGATAGGTGTTAGGCTCTTGGCAAGGCTGTGGCAAGGTAGAAATGGGCTTCTCACCCAACAAGCCAGCCAGCCCTTCATTTCAGGTAGAAAACAAAATAAACAAACAAATTGAGTATTATCTCCTATTATTTTCCAGGTAGTGTGGGATCCCAAGCAGGACAGAGTTATAAAACACGACGGCCCAGTGGTTAAACAGCAAAGTGCAGGTTTAGATCAGGAAGACTTTCCAGAGCGGGGGTCCTATTGTGCTACCCAGTGGTACCCAGCGCAGGAACTCAGCACAGAGGGCACGAAGGAAGGGCCGCTAAACCCAACAGAAAATATTAAACAAATCATTTCAGATATCGTATTTTTCAAAATAAAAGCATTAAAATAGTCATGAAGAGAAAAACCAGATTTTTGTGATACATCCTTACTTAGACTTTTATTACTTTTAATTTTCTTTCCGTTTTGAAGCCTCACAGTAGAGGGGTGCACCACAATCTTTCCACAGATCCGATCTTTTAAGGGTCTTAACTCCGTGTGTCTCTGCTCAGGGTGCTGGAATAGCAGAAACGTCAAGGTAAACTAAGAATGAGAAGGAGGGGAGGGGACCCTCCGGGGAAACGCGGCATGCAAAAGCGCTCCCACCTTTTCCCAGAACACACCTTCCTTCCCTCCAGCCTCTCCTATGAAGGAAGAATGACCGATGCTACTCAGTAGCAGCAGGTGGCAGCAGTGAGCCGCTCGGCGACTCCACCTATGTCCTCTTGGACTCTCCCGACTTGTCCAGCCCGCAGTGTTGGCACCTTTCTGCAGGGAGCAGTGGCAGAGCTGTTGGCGTTAAGGCAACGGCTGAAATGGGAAAAAAGACTCGGGGTTATGTTACTGGCTCTAACCCTCCCCACAGACTTGGCTCAGAGAAGGCGAGGCATTTGTCAAAGGTCCAAAGATGCACTGCCTCCTATGCCAGAATTCAGCAGTGCCCATCTATTCCTGTCCAACATGCTTGTCTACCTGCCTGCCTTTTGAAGACATTCCTTGTGCATCTATTGTGTGCCGTGGTTGTGCTAGAAGTATACAATACACCAGCTCACAAGTAGAATGTAGTTCAAGCCGGGCGGGTGGCACATGCCTGTAATCCAAGTACTCCAGGAGGCTGAGGCAGGAGGATCACCGAGAGTTCCAGGCCAACCTGGGCTACATAGTTAGTTCAAGGCCAGCCTGGACTACATAGTGAGTCCGTTTCAAAAAAAAAAACGATGATGAAAATAGTTTTTGCAAATGGGAAGGGGACCAAGACAAGAGATGGAGGGAGGAGGGAGGAGATGGGTAGGGGATTAAAAAATTGTGTACATGTATCAACTCCCCATGATAAATGTAAATCATTATGTAAATGTAATCATTATGTACTATGAACATGTACTAATAAATTTTTTTAAAGACATAATTAAGATTTCGGAGTGTACGCCTGTAATCCTACCCCTTGGGTGGGCTGAAGCAGGAGGATCACTGCAAGTTTCAGGCTAGTGATGTGATAAGTTCAATTCCCAGTCATGAATGAATCAAAACAAAACAAAACCAGAAACAGCACATCTAGAAGAACTAAAAACATGTATGGAGGAGAGTAAGAAGGAGACAGGGGTTATACTTGAAGACTGGATGACTAAGTTTGGTAGGGGGACTTTCTTTGAAGGGTGCTGGTAATCAGGGCGGCAATGGAGCTCCCACCTTTGTGGGGCTATGACGTATGCCCTGGGGTGCTGTTTTGTGCCTATCACAGGTCCACATGTGGGGATACAATGATAAAGCCCAACTCAACAACAACAACAACCAAACAAACAAAAAGACACAGCGCAAGGTACAACAGGAGAAAAGACGAATGGACTTTATCTATAAAAAAATAAATTGTAAACCCCACTGTGATGGAGCACACCTGTAATCCCAGTGCTTGGGAGGCTGAGGCAGGAGGATCATGGTGAGATCCAGGCCAGCATGAGCTACTAAATGGGTTCAAGAGCAGCCTGAACTACATAGAGAAATCCTGTCTCAAAAAACAAACAAATGGGCCAGGGATTTAGCTCAGTGGTTCTCCCGCCTGCCTTGAAAGCACACAGTCCCAAGTTTGATCCCTGGTACCCCCCCAAAAAATTTTTTTAAATATATTTCTCAGAAATAAAAATATTTTTTAAAAAAAGAATCTAAAGTGATAGGGCCAAGGATTTAGCTCAGTGGCATCATGCCTGCCTCAAAAGTGCAAGGTCCTGAGTTCAATCCCCAGTACCAAAAACAAAATCTAAAGTAATAACACAAACTGGATGTGATAGTGGATGCCTATAATCCTAGCACTCTGGAAGACTCTGGCTCTGGAAGAAGGAGGAGGACAATGATTTGGAGCTCAGCCTGGGCAATTTAACCATTTAGCAAGACCTTGTCCCAAAATTTAAAAAAATAAATGCTGGGCATGGTTGTGCCCACCTGTAATCCCATCATTCAGGAGGCAGAAGCAGGAGGATCCCTGCAAGTTCAAGGCCAGCCTGAACTACATAGCGAGACTCTGTCAAAAAAAAGTACTTAGGGACAGGGATTTACCTCAGTGGTTCTGCCGCCTGCTTTGCAAGAACAAGGTCCAGAGTTCGATCCCTGGTGCCAAAAAAATCCAAAACAAACAAAGGAAAAATACTGAAACCAAAATTTTAAAAAGGCCTGAGGGTGTAGTTTAGTGCTAAGGGCCTAGGTTCAATTCTTCATATTGCAAAATTTAAGTAACTAAAGTAGCAATGCAAGTAGGAAGGTACATTGGAGGTGGTGCTAAGGCAGTGACTAGAGATATGGCAAGAGCAGAAGGGATGGATTTGAGAGACGCTTGTGGAATAAGATTGGTGGGACCTGACTACATATGCTGTGACTAGGGATGGTGGAAGGTAGGAGAGAGAGGGTTGTTGGGAAGAATACTAGGGAAAACTCCCTAAAGAAGGGTTTACTTATGTATGTACCCCCTTTCCTGCAGCTCCACCAACCTCTCCTCATCTGCACTCCCAGGGCTCAGAGCCCTCTCCTCTGGAGAGTGAGGTAGGCCCAAGGGTAAGGAGGGTAAGAGCACCTGGGGTGAAGGTCTGCTTTGGGGAGAGCTGTGAGGGGAAATAATCACATAGATTGGAAGACACAAGTTCTCCAGCCTACCCTATAGTCAGAAGCTGCCCTGGGGAAACTACTCATTTTCCCTTGATTCCTTTCATTCTCTGGGTTGGGCACAGTATGAGAGAGGCTGGTGGCCTGGAACATGGGAAAGGGTCTCACCCCAGATTGACTATTTCCACACAGAAAGTCTCAAAAGGCACCCACCTGGGAGAGGCCTCCGACTGCTCCTCCCTCCTTCCAAGTCTTAAGACCCTGAGATATGTGTGGGAAGGAGGGGCATGGCTTTGGCACCATGCCCCAGGCTGACGGGGCAAAGGGCAAAAGAGAAGGCAGCTGAGAAGGAGCTGCAGAAAGGAAAGCCTCAGATTGGGGATGAGAAAAGGGTCAGTGGGCATTTTAATTACTATTTAATTATTGAGATTTTTTGAGACAGGGTCTTGCTATTTAATCCAGGTTGGCCATGATGTCACTATGTAGTTTGAACTCATGGAAATCCTCCTGGCTCAGCCTCCTGAGTGCTGGGATTACAGGGGTAAAATATTTTTAATAACTGACTTAAATTTGTAACGTAATAGTAATTTCAGCTGAGTGGTGGCACATGCCTATGATCTCAGCAGCAGGAGGCTGGAGCAGAATGATTGCTGTGAGTTCAAAGTCAGCCTGAACTACACAGTGAAACCATCTGCTCCCAAAAAGGAAGTAAAGACAGTCCTTTTTCTGTGCCATTAACTTATTGAAAAAACAAGCTCTGAAGACTATCTCGATTTTTTACTGTTTCTCTATGTTTTCACTTACTTTGTCCCTCCTGTTTTCTGAAGACTGGATATTAGATCAAAAGACTTGCCTAGGATCAGGCTTAGTATCTCTAGAAAGAATGTTCATCAGGTAAGGCAGGGTTCTTCCTGTCACACTGCACTGGGGCCACGTAACATGCATAATGTGTGGTTGTCTGATTCAGTCTCGGAAGCTAAGCCTGAGGGGTCTGGACAACCGCCTTCGAGTCTAGAAGCCAGCACTGAGTGGGCAGCAGCTTCTAATGCTGCTTGCCTGTGTGGTGTGGAGTGGGTTGAGATCAGGTTTGAGGTCAGTGTGCAGGAAAACACAGCTCTCAGGCAGGATGTGCATGGCGTGGACAGCCCTGTCCTTGGGCAGGACTGAGCAGAGTCCTGGGGACAGAGGTGCTGGCTAGGCATGGGACAGGATGGTGAGGGGCCAGCCTCCCTTCACCTGAGTATCTTGCAGGAATGAGGCGACTAACCAGGCTCTATTTCCCAGGACTCAGGGTGGAGGCATTTGGAGACCTGTTCACCCCTCCTGCAGTCTGCTGAGGAGAGCAAGCTGTGCCTCCTTTACAGCTCTGGACCCTCTCGGGGTTGGGCTGGGCCTGGTATGGCTCAGTGAATTCCTTGCTCTACTTGCTATTTTCTTGTTCTCTGGCATCTAGTTACTGCCTTAAAATACCTTTTTGGGGGGCGCTGGGCATTTAGTTCAGTGGCACCACACCTGCCTCGCAAGTGCAAGGTCCTGAGTTCCATCCCTGGTACTTTTTTTTGGTGCTGCTGGGGACTAAAAGCAGTAGCTCTCACATTTAGGCAAGTGCTCTGTTTCTGAGCTACATCCGTAGCCCTTTCCTTATTTTTTTTTTTTACTGGGCTCTGGATAAATTGCTCAATTGCCCAGGCTGGGCTCAAACTCAAGAACCTCCTGCCACAGCCTCCGGGAAAGCTGGGATTATAGGAGTACACCACCATGTCCAGCTCTTGGCCCTTTTAAAAAATTTTTGAGACAGGCTTTCACTAAATTGTCCAGATTGACCTCAAAATTGTGATCCTTCTGCCTCAGCCTCTCAAGTAGCTGAGATTATGGGCACAAACCATGAAGCCTGCCTTAAAATACTTTTTGATTACTCTCGTGAAGTAATTTTTCTTTTTCTGGTACCAGGGATTGAACTCAGGAACTTGCGCTTGCAAGGTGCATGCAGCACCACTGAGCTAAATCCCTGGCCCACTTTTGATTACTCTTAAACTTGACTGTCAGTGTTGAACAGTTCATGGTGGCAAAGGCCTGTCATTCCAACACTGAGAGGATGAGGCAGGATGGCAAATTTGCCCTGAGGCTGGGCAATTTAGTGACTTATAGAAACCTTGTTTCAACATGAAAAAAATTACAAAAGGGGGCCAGGGATTTAAGCTCAGTGGTTCCAGCGCCTGCCTCACAAGTGCAAGGACCCAAGTTCGATCCCTGATACAAAAAAAAAAATTTACAAAAGGGCTAGGAGAGTAGGTCAGTGTAAAAGACCTGTGTTCAATACTAGTGCACAGAAACACAAAGTGCTAGAAGGAAATTTGAGGATCATTAAATTAGTCCCTCACCGAGAAACGCCTTCCCCAGACTTCAATCTGTACATTCCACCTTTATAACTACCATAACCTGGTCCAGCGTGGTCCACTATTGGGAGTCATATTCTACCTATTTTGGGGGAAAAATATTTCACCTGCGGAAGGACAAATTCCTTATCAGCTTAACTCATCCCACCTATTTTTTGTTTTTTGGTACCAGGGATCAAACTCAGGAATGTGTGCACTTGCCAGGCAGGTACTGTGCTGCTGAGCTACATCCCCGGCCCCCACCAGCTGTTGTAAGAATGTTTTGCTCAACTCATGGTCCTAATCAATTTAAGCTTCTCACTGACCTAGGATCCTCATTGTCATGGGATTACCACCACCCTTCAGACATCTGGTACTCCCTCCGATTATAAGAGCCTTGAGAATTTAGGATTATCACTGCCCTCTGGGTCGCCTGATACTTCCTATGAACCCAATGAATATTGGCAAGCTGGGAGTGTCTTTGTCTTTGCCCACTCTGAGGCACTGACTTCCTGGCCCCCCATATACTTTGAAATTATGCAAGTCTATTGTCCTTTTTTCTTTTCTTTTTTTTTTTTTTTGGTACCAGGGATTGAACTCAGGTCCTTGTGCTTGCACAGCAGGCGACGAAACCACTGAGCTAAATCCCTGGCCCCACTGTCCTTTTTTCTTTAGCTCTCACCCTCCCCCTTTCTAGGCAGTTGGAAGATTGATCACCCTCCAATAGTTCATGGTACCATTATTTTTCTGTATCCTAACTAGAAGCCCTGTGAAATGGTAGTCTGGTATGTAGTTCAATTTCTTTCTAAAGGTACTGAACACATGACAAGCCAGGCACAATGACACACACTCCTGGAATCCCAGCTACTTGCGAGGCTGAGGCAGGACTATTTCTTGAGCCCACAAGTTTGAGGTCAATCAGTAAAATAGTGAGATCCCAGTTGTTGGGGGGCAAACCCACAAAAACAACCAACCAGGGCTGGAGATGGCAGCCCCCACTGGCAGACTTCTTATATACCACATTGGAGGCTGTAGGTTCTATCTCAGCACAGGGGTAAAATATACACATTAAAAAATAACTGTGAAGGCCAGGGATTTTGCTCAGTGGTTTTGCTGCCTGCTGTGCAAGCGCAAGGACCTGAGTTTGATCCCCGAAACCAAAAAAAAAAACTGTCCCCGGCATGGTGGTGCATGCCTGTAATTGCAACACTTGGGAATCTGAGGCAGGAGGATTCCCAGGAGTTGAAGGTCAGCTTGAACTACACAGCAAGACTCTTTTCAAAAAACAACAGAAAATGGGCCAGGGATTCAGCTCAGTGGTTCTGGCTCCTGCCTCGCAAGTGCAAGGTCCTGAGTTCGGTCCCCATACCAAAAAACAAAACAAAACACAAAAAGAAACAAACAAAAAATCCTGAAATACAGAACTGTAGGTTAGGGCTGTAATTCTTTTTCTTTTTCAGTACTAGGAATCGAACTCGGGACCTTGCACTTTCAAGGCAGGTGGCAGACCCACTGAGCTAAATTCCCGGGCTCCATGCCTGTAATTCTAGCACTTGGGAGGCTGAGGCAGGATTGCCATGCGTTCAAGGCCAGCCTGAGCTACATATTGAGTTCAGGGCTAGCTTGAACTACAAAGCAAGACCCTATCTTGAAACAAAAACCATAAACAAAAAACATCAACCAAAAATACAGAACAGCAATACAGAAATATTTCAATTCCACCAGTGGGAAGTGCCTCATAGTTTGGGGAATGCTATAAAAGTGAAAATGAAGTCAGAGAGTCTTGAGACCTTGATTGGGCACATCTTCAAGGTCCGGATTTATTTTCTTTCTTTCTTTTTTATTTATTTATTTATTTATTTATTTATTATTTTCTAATTTAAAAGGAAGCCTGGCATGGTGGCATACCCCTGTAATCCCAGCACCCTGGAGGCTGAGGCAGGAGGATTGCCACAAGTTCAAGGCCAGCCTGGACTGCATAGTGAATTCAAGGCCAGCCTGAATTACATAGCGAGATCCTGTCTCAATAAACCAAAATTAAAAATAAAAGAAAGAAGGGGTTGATAGACCCTTATTATATTATAAGGTCTTGTGAGGGACGGAGAAGCCATTGTTCTTGGAGAATGCTCGGGGATCTTCGTCCTGCCCTGCTAATGGCCAGGGGGCCGCGGGTTGCCTCCCGAGCTCCGGCTTCTCCCACCTTTCTGCTCCGCCACCGCCCGAGGTCGTGCGGTGTCCGGGGCTCTTCTCCACGGGGACCTCGAGCGCGGGCGTCAGCGGGCGTCAGCGGCATGGGGGCTTCGGGAGAAAGCGCTCGCTATGGGGGAATCATGGCCCGCTGGCCGGAAGCTGGGGGTGGAGAGGCCGAGAGCTGCCGACCCGCCCCGCTGCCCGGGGCTCCGCGGCTGGCGGGTTTGTTTACGAAGCTGCGGCCTAGCCCTCCGCTGCGCCCCCTGCTGTCCTGCGGCCGGGCCCGGGGTGTCCGGACCTTCGGGACCCTCCTGCGCCCGGGAATGGGAAACTGAGGGTGGTGTCCGCTCGACCCTGGGCTCTGGGGAGGACTCAGGGCTACTTAACGGAGAGGAAGGAGAGAAGGAAACTGCTTCAATTTTGGTTAAAAGAAGAACTTAAAAAAAAAAAAAAAAAGGCTCCGGTCACCCTTGGGGCCTGAGCGCGTGGGTGCGTCACTGGGGAGGGTAAGGTGACTTGAAGCGACCCAGCTGTCGCTGGTGAGGAGCCTGAGGGGTTTGGGGCTTTTGGAGAAAGGGAAATGTTTGGATTGTGTTTGTTCCCAACTGGAATCTCAAGGGGTCAGAGTTAAATGTTCAGAAAGGCACTCAGTTTGCTGTTTGGGTTCTAGGCCAGTCAGTTTCTGTCTCTCCTAGTTCCAGGACTTTGCCTTTAGTTCTCATGAATACACACGGACCGTGGAACTTGACAGTCGGCCGTTTCTCTTCCTCTTTGCTTCCTTTTTTTTGGTACTGGGGATCGAACTTGGGTCCTTGAGCATGCGAGGCAGGCGGCTGAACCACTGAGGTAAATCCCCAGCCCTCTTTTTTTTTTTTTTTTTTTGAGACAGGATCTCCCTAAGTAACCACGCTGACCTACACTCATGTGCAGCTGTCTTCCTGCCTCAGCCTCCTGGGTGCTGCACCCTTGCTTTTATTTGGCAAAGGGTCTTCAAACTTCAGAGACCATTGGCTGGCTGTCAGGGCTGTCTTTTTGCAGCTTTCTTCAGAAAAGAAAATTTTTAAGAAGTTTGAGTCAGTTCAGCTCTAGCAATAACTAAATTGTGTTTTTGATGGTCCTCCCAAGTCCACCCCTCACACAACATCCCCCTACCCCAGCCTTTATCCTCCAGGGTCTAGAAGACCACCAGGGCTGTCTACAAGATCGAATCCCTTTTTAGTACCAGTTACAGTATGAGCTGGCATGAATCACAATACTTCTCAGATAAGGAAACAAAGACAAAGCCAGGCTACAGAATGGGCCATGATAATAATTACAAAGATTGTCCATAGCCAGTCTGAGGTTTCTCAGAAGTTCCTGGTTTTATAAATAAAAAAAAAAAAGTCCAGCTGTTTCACTCTTGGATTATTATTTGTTTTGTTTTGTTTTTTGGAGACAGGGTCTCACTGTGTAGCCCAGGCTAGCCTTGAACTCTTGCCTCAGCTTCCAGACTGCTGGGATTACACGTGTGTAAACTGGGTGTGGTGGCACATGCCTGAAATCCCAGCACTAGGATTGCAAGTGTGGGCCTGGCTTGTTTACTTTTTCTTAGCTAACCTTTATCCTATAGGTAAAAGGTAGGGCAGGTAAAAGAAATTTCAGCTAGTCTGTTTTTTGCTTAACAGTTGTAGTTCACAGTTTCCTGAGAAGGAAGGTCATAACGATGGTGTAAAAATAGATTTGGGAATCATCTGTGTATTTTATTCTTTCTTTCTTTCCCTTGATACTGGGGATTGAACCCTGGGCTTTTGCACTGAGATACATTCCCAGCTCTTTCATTGTTTATTTTGAGACAGGTTCTTGCTAAGTCCCTAAATTGTCCTGGCTGGGCTCTAACTTGTGACCCTCCTACCTCAGCCTCCCGGAAGGCTGGGATTACATGCATGCCATGGGAGTCCCTGCCCAATTATTATTATTGTTGGGCCAGGGATTTAGCTCAGTGGTTTCACCGCCTGCTGTGCAAGCGCAAGGACCCGAGTTCAATCCCTGGTACCAAAAAAAAAAAAGAGAGAAGGCAATTATTATTATTGTTGTTATTATTATTTTTGGCTATTTAAAACAAGGTCTTGCTATGTAGTCCAGGTTGGCCTTGAACTCACTATGTAGCCCAGGCTGGCCTCAAACTCAAGGTGATCATCCTGCCTCAGCCTCCCACCATGCCCCTCTGTTTTTGTTTTGTTTTGTTTTGTTTTGTTTTTGAGAGAGGGTCTTGCTATATTACCCAAGCTGGCCTTGAACACCTGGATCAAATGATCTTGCTGTCTTAGCCATCTGAGTAGCTGGTTTATTTAATTTGTAAAATGTTCCTAGTTATCAGATTGTTAACTAAGAAAGTAATGAAAGCTGACGAGAAGTTTCAAAATTAGGAGGAAAGATTAATTTGTAAAAGGCAACCAAATGAAGGCTGGAAAGCAATCATTATAGGACCTAAAGACGTATTTAGGACGGTCAAGACTAGGATTCCCCTTCCATTTAACAAGTGTTTACTGGTTGTCAAATATATGTCCAGCTTTGAGAATACAAAGTGAAAAGACATCATCCCCACTCTCAAAATTTAGTGTAGCTAAGGCATTGGACTGGACACTGGATACTTAGATACCTCTGATACAAGTACCAGTATGTGACAGGAACACAGTGCTCAGAATATTCCATACCTTGGGAGAAGCTGGAAAGACTTTCTCTCCTCTTCCTTTTTCAGTACTGGGGATTGAACCCAGGCCCTTTACACTAAGCTCTATTCTGAGCCCTTTTACAATTTTTTTCTTTTCTTTTCTTTTCTTTTCTTTTTTTTTTTTTTGTGTGTGGGAATTGAACTCGGGACCCTTCATTTGTGAGGCAGGTGCAGAACCACTGAGCTAAATCCCTGGCCCTTTTTTTCCTATTTTAATTTTTCGAGACAAGTTCTCAATAAATTGCCCAGGTTGGGCTGAAAATTGCAATCTTCGTGCCTCAGCCTCCCAGAGTGCTGGGTTATAGGTATGGGCCACCTCACTGGGCTGGAAAGACTTCATTCTTACTGAAGATAAGAGAAAATGTGCAGTTAGTAAGGCAGGATGGCCCATGCCTGTAATCCCAGCTCTTGGGGAGGCTGAGACAGAAGGATCAAGTTCAAGGTCAGTTTGGGCAATTTAGCAAGACCTTTTTTCAAAATAAAAAATGAAAAGCCTGAGGATGTAGCTCAGTTGTAGAGCACTTGCCTAGGATGAGCAAGGCCCTGGTTTTAATCTCTAGTACACAAAGGGAAAAAATTACCATAATAATAAGATTGGGCTGTCCAGGAGGGAAACAGGCTGAGTGAAGTGGGTTATAAAGTTTTAAATTTTGGAGCCCCAAGAAAACATGGCTTCCAACACAGAGCAAAGCACAGTGGACAGTAATGGCAGATTAGCCTGAATAAGTGCAGGGCAAATCACTAAAACCTTTGACTGCCTTGCTAGACGGGTACCACTTAGCATAAGAGAGATGCACCATGTCACTGACAGCCACATTTCATGCCACTAGGTTTTTTATTTTGTTTGTTTTTGTTTGTAGAACTGGGGATTGAACCTAGGGAGCATTGGGCTACATCTCAGCTCTATTTTATATCCTTTTAATTTACTATTTATTTATTTAATGGTGACAAAGTATTTGAAAAAGTAAAAATGAAGCATGAGGGAGAAACACTCTGTAGAGCTAGCTTGGGCCGAGTAAAAGAGGAAAAAGCAAGAGAAAAGTACACCCTAGAGGACACAGGGTGAGCTATCATAAGGAAAGTCAAATAGTCACTTTTTATTTTATTATTTTTGGTTGTTGAGAAAGGACCTTGCTATATATATAGTTCAGGGTGGCCTTGAACTCATTGTATATCTCAGGTGGTCCTTGAACTCTTGGTGATCCTCCTGCTTCAGGCTCCCAGGTGCTGGGATTATAGGGGTGCACCACCATAACTGGCTTAGTTTTTGTTGGGTTTTTTTTTTTAAACAAATTTGTGCCTTTTTATTCATCTTTATTTTTTCCCTTCTACCCTTTTTTCTTTTTTCTTTTTTTGAGAAAGGGTCTTACTGTGTAGTCTAGGCTGCCCTTGAACTCTTGGCAATCCACTTGCCTCAGTTTCCTAAGTGCTGGGATTACAGGAGTGTACCACCATGACCAGCTCAATTACTTATTTTAAAAGTTTGTTTTTTCCTTACAGATCAAACTCAGGGCCTTGTGTTTGCTAGGAAGCTGGTCTGCTGCTGAGTTATACTCTGATCCCCTATTCTTTTTATTTTGGTTTAAAGAAAATTTGTTCAGGTTTTCAGAGGAATTGGATGAACATGGACAGGCCTCTTCACTTGCTCTCAGGGACTATCAGTAAGGTAGTATAGTAAGCTGCACACATCTAGGACATTCCTTACTTAGTGGCCAGGTCTTCTTCTGCAGTAGTAAAGGGAAAGGACTATGAAAAGGATGGCTATTGAATTTAGCTTGTTTGTTTTTTTGTTTTGCTTATTTATTTTTTTAGGCAGGGTCTTGCTATGTAGTTCAGGCTGGCCTTAAACTCACTATGTAGCCCAGGCTGGTCTCAAACTCACAACAATCCTCCTGCCTGGGCCTCCCGAGTGCTGGGATTATAGGCATGTGCCACCATGACTGGCTTGGGGTTTTTTTGGTCTTTTTTCCCATTTTTCTTTTTTGGAATCAGGAATCAAATTTAGGGCCTCATGCTTCCCAGGCATGAGCTGCATGGCTGAGCTACCTCTCTGGCCCTGTTTTGCTTTTTTTGAGACAAGGTCTTGCCATGTAGCCCAGGCTGGCCTCAAACTGGTGGTGATCCTCCTGCCTCAGCCTCCTGAGTGCTGGGATCACAGGCATAGGCCACCATGCCCAGCACATTTTGCTTTAAATCTAGGCATTTTTCTCAGTACCTGGGATAAAATCAAACTCTAGTTCCAGTTTGGGGCATAGACTAGCCTGGAAAAATGGACAAACACAGGCTTTGAGAATAAATACAGAATAGTCATAATAACTGAAGTATCTGACCTTACCCTTTTCTCCTCTGAGAATGACAGTTCGATTTTCTTTTGGTGGTGCTGGGGATTAATACTAGGGCCATGGGGAGGGGAGGGAAAAAGGAAGGGGATGTAAAAATTAAGACGTGTATGTACATGTACCAACTAACCACGATGAATATAATATTATGTACTGCAAACGTGCTAAAAATCCAAAAAACAAAAAATAGGGCCTTGGGCCGGGGATTTAGCTCAGTGGTTTCCCCACCTGCTGTGCAAGAGCAAGGACCTGAGTTTGATCCCCGGTACCAAAAAAAAAAAAAAAAAATCTGAGATTATAAATCTCTCTAGTTTGGGATTTTTAATGGCTGAGTTGTACTCCATTTTATAAAAAAAAAAAAAAAAAAAACACCTTCCATAAGCTAGGGATCTGCTTTCCCACTAAGCTACACCTCCCAGCTCAGTCTCTTAAATCTCCCCAAAGAATAAAGTTACTCAACCAAAGTGAAGTGTTTTGAGTACAGCTCCAGTTATTTCCCCTTCCCCTCACCCCCAGCAAATTAGGTGTGGCCTATTGCTGAATACACTACACAGCTGTTAGAATCTTCAGAGCTTGGTTTACAAGGATGAGTAATGTAGTGTCTTTCTTATAGGAAGTTTCTTCCCATCTGGAGGCTTCTTTTTGCCAGTTTCTTCATCGGTGTTTCCCTTTTTTTTTTTTTTGGTACCATGGATGGAACTTGGGACCTT